TTTCTCTCTCTCTCTCTCTGGTCAAATTAAAAATAATAATAATAATAACAAATGGAATTCAATAAATAGATAATTCTTTTTTTGGGGAAAATAAAATGAAGGGAGGGTGGCCACGGAGGAGAGGCTAAAGAGGTAGACAGGACTAGATCTCACAAAGTCTCATCTTCCATGGTAGGGAATTACTTTTTGGTAGCTAGCAACCAAAAACTGACTTTATGGAACAATAAAGGTGACATGTTAATCCTGTTTTCTATGACTACCCAGTCATGGTAGGTCCCTAGATATGGGAGGAAAGGAGAAATGAAAATGGGGCACAGCCTTTTGCTGCCCCTGGTCATGGAAAGATGACATGTTAATCCAGCTTTTGCTGACCAAAATTCAGTCACAAAAGGAGTTTTTAAATTATTACTTCAAAAGAACAAATAAACAAAAAGACTGGGACTGTTTTTTTAAGGCCTATTATGTGCCAGATATTTTATATACATTACTTCACATAATCCCTACAGCAACTCTGAGGAGTATGTTCTATTATATTGTCTTAATTTTATAGCTGAGAAGAGCGATGTTCTGAGAGATTGAGTAACCAGGTCAAAGGTCTTATGCTTTATAGGTGGTAGAGCCTGTATTCCATTTGACTCTTGAACCCTTGTTTTTCACTGTCTTGTATATTATTAAACTATGTCTATAGGTTTGAACTGCAAGAAAATAGACTGTATCCAAACAGATCAGGCAGAGGGTAAACGGCAAATAAAAACTAAAATAATCTGAATAGTGGGAATGTTTTCAGTTAATTGCACTATGGTGTTGGTATAATTTATTGATAGTTTAGATAGGAATCTGTTTAAAAGGACTTGGCATCTACAGACCAGTCAATGGTCCAACTGTAACTGCTACATAAAACCAAACATGCTAAGCAACCTTTGGAATCAGCCTGGATGGCTTTTTTCTTTCCTTGGGGTCCTATAATATTAGTATTTCCCAGGTAAAACAGAAAAGTCAGACACATAAGAGATCAACACCAATGTTAATTGAGGTTCCTC